GAAATAAGTTATACAGCTGCACTTTCAAGGTCATTAAATGGGAGTTTATCTGTTGCTGAAGATAATTATGTTATTCCCAGAACTTAGTAAAAGAGCTGGAAGGATTTATATATATATAGACTTCTAGCTATCATGAAACTCCAATAACTCATTTAAAAATAAAAAACAAGCTAGTGTATTGTATCGTTATTCGTATACAGCTTATATGATGGTAAAATTATATAAAATGCTATTTAAGATAAATATGTATGATAGAAAGGAACCTTAGAATTTTTAGATAAGAAGCATATATATTTAAGAATGTTTAGAATATATGTTTAGAACACTTTAATGTATCGATAAGTAAGAGATACAATACTTACAAACAAACATAGATAAATTGTAATCTGTTATATTAATATATGTATAGATTAAGAGGGTCAGAGCGGGCATGGGGAAAGATCTGATCTTTTACAGGGAATGTTAAATTTTCTGGCTCCCAATAGTTCCGCAGAGCACAGCTCAAACAAGAGCTGGGGATTTGTTCTCACTGACCATTGTTGGAACAGGGTGAGGGTGGGGGAGGGGGAAAAGGGTGGGAGGGAATTAGGCACAGTAAAATGGGTGACACTGAAAAGAAAATCAGAACGAATTAGACAATCTGGCTTAGTAAAACACGAACATAGACTGTATACCACAACATATATAAAATTTATTAGACAAATATTGATAAAGAATATATTTGTAAAGAAAGCATATAGAATGTACCTCTGTAATGATAGATAATCTTCAGATTTTATCTTATAATGTGAATGGACTTGGTTCACCAGTGAAAAGATATAGAGTCATTAAGACTATTCAAAAATTAGGAGTAGATGTGTTGTTGTTACAGGAGACTCATCAAAATAAGAACAAGAAAGGGATAATTAAGCACCCAATGATAGGTGAAGAATATATAGCAAATGGAACGAATAAGGCTAGAGGGGTGGCAATAATCTTTATGAAGAACTCAAAATTTGAAGTGA